CCAGAATTGAATGCAATACTCTAAGTGTGGCCTAACTAAAGTCTTATAAAACTGCAACATGACATCCTGACTCATGTACTCAGTTCCCCGACCAATAAAGGCAAGCATGCCGCATGCCTTCTTTACCACCCTATCTGCTTGCGTGGCCACTTTCAGGGAGCCCAAGCTCCTTCCGTACATCAATGCTGTTCAGAGTCCTGCCATTAACTGTATACTTTTCCTTAACATTTGATCTCCCAAATGCAGCACCTCACACTTGCCCAGTTTAAACTCCACCTGCCATTTCTCTGCACATATCTGCAATTGACCTATATCCAGCTGTATCCTTTGACAACCCACTACACTATCCACAATTCAACCAATCTTTGCATCATCTGCAAACTTACAAATCCACCCATCCACATGTTCATCCAAGTCATTTATCTATATCACAAACAGCAAAGGTCCCTGTACGGATTCCTGTAGAACACCACTAGTCACGGACCTCCAGCCTGAAAAACACCCTTCCACCACTACCTTCTGTCTTCTATGGGCAAGCCAATTCTGTATCCACACGGCCAGGTCACAGTGAGGGATCTTGCCGAAAGCCTTACTAAAATCCATGTAGACAACATCCACTGCTCTACCCACATCGATCATGTTTGTCACATCCTCAAAAATCCAATCAAGTTAGCAAGACATGACCTTCTCTTCATAAAGCCATGCTGACTGTCCCTAATTAGGCCATGCTTTTCAAAATGGGCATAAATGCTTGTCCCAAGAATTCTCTCCAATAGAGTCCCAACCACCAATGTGAGATCACCTGTCTGTAGTTTCCTGGAACATTCCTATTCCATTCTTAAACAGAGGAACAATATGAGCTACTTGCTAGTCCTCCAGGACCTCTCCAGTAGCTTGCGAGGATACAAAGATCTTGGTCAAGGCCCCAGCAATCTCGTCTCTTGCCTCTCTCAATAAACTGGGGTAGATATCATTGGGTCCTGGGGATGTATCCACTTTAACGCTCTTCAAGAGACTCAACACCACTTATTTCTTGATCTCAAAATGGCCGAGCATATTACCATGCCCCACACAAATCTCGTTATCCTCCAAATCCTTCTCCTCGATGAATGCCAATGCAAAGTACTCATTTAGGATCTCGCCCACAGAGAGTCATAGAATAATATAACATGAAACAGGCCCTTCAGCCCAAGCTGGTCCATGCTGCCCACTCAGCTAGGTCCAGTTGCCTACATTAGGTCCATATCCCTCTCAACTCATGTACCTATCCAAATGTTTTTTAAATGCTGCTATTGTACCTGCCTCAACCACTTTCTCTGGCAACCCATTCCATGTACGCACCACTCTCTGCATGAAGAAGTTGCCTCTCAGGTCCTTCTTAAATCTTCCCCCCCTCATCTTAAACCTATGCCCTCTAGTTTTCAGTTCCCCATCCCTGCAAAAAAGACTATATGCATTCATCCTATCTATGCTCCTCATGATATACACCTCAATAAGATCATGCCTCAATCTCCAAGATTCCAAGGAATAAAGTCCCATCCTCTGCCTCCAAGCAGAAGTTCTCTCCTTTATCCTTGAGTGATCCTACCTTCTTCCTAGTTATCCTCTTGTTTCTTAATATATGTATAGAATGTCTTGGGATTCTCTTTAACGCGACTTGTCAAGGTAATTTCATAGCCCCTTCTTGCTCTCCTGATTCCTGGCTTGAGTTCTTTCCTGTTTTCTTTATATTCCTCACTGGCCCTGCCTGAATTTAGCTTCCTAAACCTTAAATATGCTTCTTTGTTTCCTTTTGACTAAATTTACAACCTCCCCCGTTATCCAAAGGTCCCTGACCTTGCCATTCTTGTACATCCTCCTTACTGGAACATGCCAGTCCTCAACTCTCATCAGTAGGCCTTTAAACAATTCCCACAAGTCAAATGTGGACTTACCTGATAACAGCTCCTTCCAATTAACACACCCTAGCTCCTGCCTAATACTGACATAATTTGCCCTCCCCCAATTTAGTACCTTCCCACAATTTATTTATCCTTATTCATTGTTATACTAAATCCTAAGGAGTTGTGATCAGAAGTGTAGCTTATTTTAGCTACTGTTTTCATTTTTACATACTTGTAGAAGCTTTAATGCCAGTGTTCCTACTAAATTTTTGCTTTTCGTTTTCTCTGAAGTCATCCTTTGATGGTTTCCATAAACTTCTCAATCTTTTGGCCTTCCATTAATCTTCACAAAACTGTATGCATATCTATCAACTCAACACCATTCTTAACTTCCTTAGTTAGCCACAGATGGTGTATCCTTTTCAAACAGTCTTTGGTAGCACACCGTAGTTTACTCAGGGTGTAATACTTGTCATGGCAACATGCATAGTCAGAAGTATGTTGTACCTAGCGCTATGTATGGCGATGGTAGAGGTCCCAATGTTCTTTTCAATCGTATGATTGAGAAGGAATGTATCTGGTTCTTACTGCCTGCCATTGACATGTCTGTCAACACGAGTGTACCATCAAGTCCTGGGAAGGGACTCAAATCCTGACTTCTAGTTAAGTGGCAGGGATGCACCACAAGACACTTCCTCAAATCTTTTAAAAAGCAGGAAAACTACTGCAGTTAGCATTGGCCCATTAGAGGCAGGGACAGGAGAAACTGTCATGAGAAATGATGAAACAACAGAAATGTTGAACAGGTAATGTACACAGCACTCCATATATGGCCTTACCAGCATCCAGTATAACTGAAGAATAACTCTCTACTCTTGCATTCAATTCCTCTCGTAGCAAAACATGATACTCTATTTAGCCTTTCTGATTACTTGCTATACTTATATATTAACCAGGTAACTATAGACTGGTGAGCCTAACATCGATGGTGGGCAAATTGTTGGAGGGAATCCTAAGGGACAGGATTTACATGTATTTGGAAAGGCAAGGACTGATTAGGGATTGTGGATATGGCTTTGTGCATGGAAAATCGTGTCTCACTAACTTAATTGACTTTTTTTGAAAAAGTAACAAAGAGGATTGATGAGGGCAGAGCGGTGGATATGATCTATATGGACTTCAGTAAGGCATTTGACAAGGTTCCTCACTGTAGATTGGTTAGCAAGGTTAGATCACATGGAATACAAGGAGAACTAGCTATTTGGATACAGAACTGGCTCGAAGGTAGAAGACAGAGCGTGGTGGTGGAGGGTTGTTTTTCAGACTGGAGGCCTGTGACCAGTGGTGTGCGACAAGGATCGGTGCTGGGTCCTCTGCTTTTTGTCATTTATATAAATGATTTGGATGTGAACATAGGAGATATGGTTAGTAAGTTTGCAGATAACACCAAAATTGGAGGTGTAGTGAACAGCGAAGAAGGTTACCTCACAGAACGGGATCTTGATCCGATGTGCCAATGGACCGAGGAGTGGCAGATGGAGTTTAATTCAGGTAAATGTGAGATGCTGCATTTTGGAAAGGCAAATTCGGGCAGGACTTATATACTTAATGATAAGGTCCTGGGGTGTGTTGCTGAACAAAGAGCCCTTGGAATGCAGATTCATAGCTCTTTGAACGTGGAGTCGCAGGTAGATCGGTTAATGAAGACGACGTTTGGTATGCTTGGCTCCACTGATCAGTGCATTGAGTATAGGAATTGAAAGGTTATGTTTCAGCTGTACAGGACATTGGTCAGGCCACTTTTGGAATACTTGTGCAATTCTGGTCTCCCTACTGTAGGAAGGATGTTGTGAAACTTGAAAGGGTTTAGAAGAGATTTGCAAGGACGTTGCCAGAGTTGGAGGGTTTGAGCTATAGGGACAGGCTGAATAGGCTGGGGCTATTTTCCCTGGAGAGTTGGAGGCTGAGGGGTGACATTATAGAGGTTTGTAAAGTCATGAGGGACATGGATATGGTAAACAGACAAGGTCTTTTCCCCAGGGTGGGGGAGTCCAAAACTAAATGGCATAGGTTTAAGGTGAGAGGCGAAAGATTTAAAAGGGACCTAAGGGGCAACTTTTTCATGCAAACGGTGCTGCACGTATGAAACGAGCTGCCAGAGGAAGTGGTGGAGGCTGGTGTAATTACAACATTCAAAAGGCATCTGGATGGGTGAACGAATAGGAAGAATTTAGAGGGCCAAATGCTGGCAAATGGGGCTGGATTAATTTAGGATATCTGGTTGGCACCTTTCTCCCACCTCACTGACCAATCCCCACCACTCCCTACCTGCACTCACCTATCACCATCCCACCTAGCTTCCCCAGTCCCATGCCTCCTCTCTCTATTTATTTCTGAGCTCCTTTATCCTTCCCCATTTCTGAAGAAGGGTCCTGACCCAAAATGGCAACTTTCCTGCTCCTCTGATGCTGCCTGGCACGGTTAGAAAGCCTACATGGTTCACAAGAATATTGTCCCAGTATATGGTTGATAGGTCCCCAGGTCTGCACACATTAACCTCATTCACAGCTTAATTCCTTATGCCTCTAATGTATCTTTCACACCCATTTTTCCATTTTTTAATCAATGCCTTCTTTTATTAATATAGATGCTGCGATATGGCAACTTAAACATTTTTCACTTATTTTTGTAAAAAATACAAGTGACAATAAATCACTCATCTACTTTTCAAGTTCACTATATTTCTGACATTCCTGTCAGACATACATCTGCCGATACTTTTCCATGCTGTCACCCTCTCACGATACTCTGCCTCACTTTCTCATTACACCAGCACGACTTTATAGAACATTTCACCCATGCCTGGTATCTACATACTTTCCATTAAATCTTACATTCCACTCTCTAGCCTAGAGGCACCAAAATCAATAAAACAAAGAACTAAGAATGCTGGAGAGGGTCTTCAAAAGGGTCAATGGACCTGAAACAGTAACTCTCATTTCTCTCCACAGACCAGCTGAGTTTCTTCAGCAATTTCTGTTTTTATGTTTCAGTTAACTCAGTTGAGGCAAATTAAATGTCCAAGAGCCAGTTGGACAGTGAGACATTATTACTGTCTTACCTGCAGCGGTCGTCTGTTCTTGATTGCTGCAACGTCTGGCTCAGGCCCAACCTGAAGAAAGCCATGTAGCTGGTAATTGTGACATCGGTGAGGCTGCTCAACCCATCCATCTGATCAAAGACATTTTCCCAGTAGGCTTTCAGGGCTGGTGTCCCTGGAGGGTAACTACCATACAGGTGGGAGTCCAATATATCAATCACCTCCTGGTTAACTGACGATTCAAACTTGCGAGCAAAAAATGTCGGCCTGGTCATTTGCTGTGAATAAAGATGCAAATAAAATTAGGTCAACACTGTGAATCAGATAGGGCAATAAATACCTCTTTCAAATGTAGCATCTTACAATCATAGAATGGCTACAGTACAAAAGGACACTATTCATTTCACCATGTCCATGCTGGCTCTCTGCAAGTGTGGTTACCTGGTCACACTCTGCTGCCTTTTCCCCTATAGCCCTACCAATATCTTTTGACAACCAATTGCTTTTTGAAAGCCTCAAATGAATTTGCCTCTACCACACTCTCAAGCACTAAGAAAAAAATTTAATGTGTCACCATTGCTATTTTTGTCAATAACCTTAAATATTATCATCTGGTTCTCCGTCTTCTGCCAAAGGCACCATTTTCTCGCTATCTACACTGTCTAGCCTCCTCCTAATTTTGGTAAGCTCTATCATATTCCACCCTCCGGCGACTGTGTGTGGAGTTTGCACATTCTCCCCGTGTCTGCGTGGGTTTCCTCCAGGTGCTCCAATTTCCTCCCACAGTCCAAAGGTGTGCAGGCTAGGTGGATTGGCCATGCTAAATTGCCCATATTGTTCAGGGATGTGTAGATTAGGTGGGTTATGCAGGATGGGTCTGCGTTGGATGCTCCGAGGGTCGGTGTGGACTTGTTGGGCCGAAGGGCCTGTTTCCACACCGTAGGGCTTCTATGATTCACATCTCCTTGTATTCTTCTCCATGAAAAACAACTTCAGCTTCACTGACCTATCCATGTCATGGCCTTAACCCCGGGACCATTTTCCTGAATCTTTTCTGTACCCTCCAAATGTCTTCACATCCTCCCTAAAGTATGGTGCACAGAACTGGACATGATACTCCAGCTGAGGCCAAAACAGTGTTTTATTATAGTATCCTTGATTTTGTACTCTATGCGCCTACTTATAAAGCCCATGGTGCCATATGCTTCATGAAGCACTTCGACATTGTGATCTGCCAACCTTAAATATATCTCTACATCATCTGTTCCCATATTCCTTCGGAACTGTACTCTCTCCTATATTGCCTCTCCTCAATCTTCCCACAAAAAGGAAGCATTTCACACTTCTCTGTTTCAAATTTCAATTGCTGCTCATCCATTCCCATTAGCCTATCTATTACTTTAAAGCTTACCATTGTCTTCCTCACTGTTCACAAAATCTTTTACGTTTTGTGTCGTCTGCAAACTTTGAAATTGTATCCTGCAGAACCAAGTCTGGGAAAAACAGGTATCCTAACACCAACCCTGGGGAACCGCACTATATACCACCCTCTATTTTGTAAATCAAGCAACAACCGCTACAGTAATTTCCCACTCTACACTGGCTTGCTTAATTTTATTTCAGGTGAACATTGTGGAAGCAATAGGGAGTGCATACCCCTTTAAAACCATGCAAATTGAAGATCTTCTAACATGCAAGTTTTGCACAAATGATAGGAATAGCATTTTGTGAGAGTTGGAGTTGGAGTTGGGAAGGAGAAAAAAAAACTCATTTCACAGGACAGCATTCTAAATAAATTTAATCATTAGCAATTTAACCAACTTATAATTTGCAACCATTATTTTGGAAGACTGCTTTCTTATTTTCTGAAATACTATCCATTATTAGACAGTATTTTAAGAGATTTAGTCTGTTATAATGATTACTTTTTCCTTAAGCAAGTGATAAATGAAACAGAAGCCTCTTCAAAATACATCTCCGCTAGTAGTAACTGGGCAGGGGGAGAGTGATAAAGATATTTGCACACTGATATTTCTGACAAAATTGTACGGCCATGCCAAATTAAAATACTGTGATGCAGACATTGCCTTAATTGGACTAAATACAAAATCAGAACAGAATAAAAGCAAAAAACTGTAGATGCTGAAAATCTGAAATAAAAACAAAGTGCGTGAGAAACTCAGCAGGTCTGGTAGCATCTATGGAAAGAGTAAAAGCTGAGTGCAATATGACTCTTAATCAGAACTGGAAGATGGTGGTTTTTATGCTGTAGGCAAAGGCAGGGGAGGAGTAAGTGGAACAGCTAATGAGATTGAATAGAACAAAAGACAAAGCAAGTCCTAATTATGGTGAATTGGAGACAGAGAAGTAAATCTGGTGCAATAAGTAGGTATGAAAAGGAAAAAGGGATCCATTCTACAGAGAGCAAGGCCAACAAGCTACATGACCATCGTCCTTTGTACTTTTCTCTGCTCTCTTTCCGTTACTCTTTATCTTTTTTCTCAATTTCAAGCATTTTTCTTTATCTTTCTCAAAGTCATTTTTTTTCATTTCTAAGTTATCTTAGTAATTCCTATTTTAGCTCATTTCTATTTTAGTCCATTCCAGTTGTGATATCTCAGTTTCAGGTTTCCTTCCTACTAATTCTAAATAGGCCAGACTCATTTTAAGTATCTCATCCTTATGAGATCCTGCTTTTACGTCTACCTTCGATATATCAGCTTAATCCTTCAGTTTAGCTTTACTCAAAGATTTTAAATAATTTACTATTATATCTTGCACTTTCAAAAAACTCTTAACAGGCTCCAAGGTCATCTCAAATTTCAAGCAATAAGCTTCATCTCAACACAGCTGATTTAAGCCTAGAACCCTCTGTAGTTGTTATTTTAACAAGACAGACATCAATCCTTCGTAAATCCAGATTTTGATTCCAGATGAGCTCCCATTTGTTGTGAACCTAGCAGATGTTACGCTTGGACAGGAACCTGGCTTGATAGATCAAAACTTCATTTGTTTTAGTTTTAGCAAAAAGGTCTCTTGCTAAAGCATAAGCAAGCAATGCTGCCGATTTTGCTTCAACAACAAAATAGAAGTTTATTAGAAAAGGAACAAAGATAAAGTAGATAAAACTATCTACAAATAGTACAACTTCAATGATTTTAAACACACAGTAAAATTATAATCCCAAACACTCTTTTGTAAAATTGATAAACAAAATTGCAAAATTGATGGGCCAAATGGCCTCTTTCTATGCTGTAGTGATTCTATAAATCTGGAATTAGAGGCTCGTGCATTATCGATTGTGATAAAAACCCATCTGATTCGCTTATGCTCTTTATGGAAGGAAAGCTGTTGCCCTGATCTGGTCAGACCTACATCTACTCCAGACCAGAGATAGTAGGAACTGCAGATGCTGGAGAATCCGAGACAACAAGGTGCAGGGCTGGATGAACACAGCAGGCCAAGCAGCATCATAGGAGCAGAGAGGCTGACGTTTCGGGCCTAGACCCTTCATCAGAAAAGGGGGAGGGGAAGGGGGTTTTGAAATAAATAGGGAGAGAGTGGGAGGCGGATAGAAGAGGGATAGAGGAGAGGATAGGTGGAGAGGAAACAAACAGGTCGAAGAGGCGGGGATGGAGCCAGTAAAGGTGAGTGTAGGTAGGGAGTTAGGAAGGGGATAGGTCAGTCCAGGGAGGACGGACAGGTCAAGGGGGCGGGATGGAGGTGGGTCGGAAGGAGATGGAGGTGCGGCTTGAGGTGGGAGGAGGGGATAGGTGGGAGGAAGAACAGGTTAGGGAGGCAGGGACGAGCTGGACTGGTTTTGGGATGCGGTGGGGGGAGGGGAGATTTTGAAACTTGTGAAATCCACATTGATACCATTGGGCTGCAGGGTTCCCAAGCGGAATATGAGTTGCTGTTCCTGCAACCTTCGGGTGGCATCGTTGTGGCACTGCAGGAGGCCCAGGATGGACATGTCGTCTGAGGAATGGGAGGGGGAGTTGAAATGGTTCGCGACTGGGAGGTGCAGTTGTTTGTTGCGAACCGAGCGTAGGTGTTCTGCAAAGCGGTCCCCGAGTCTCCGCTTGGTTTCCCCGATGTAGAGGAAGCCACACCGGGTACAGCGGATGCAGTATACCACATTGGCAGATGTGCAGGTGAACATCTGCTTGATGTGGAAAGTCTTCTTGGGGCCTGGGATGGGGGTGAGGGAGGAGGTATGGGGGCAGGTGTAGCACTTCCTGCGGTTGCAGGGAAAAGTGCCGGGTGTGGTGGAGCTGGAGGGGAGTGTGGAGCGGACAAGGGAGTCACGGAGAGAGTTGTCCCTCCGGAAAGCAGATAAGGGTGGGGAGGGAAAGATGTCTTTGGTGGTGGGGTCGGATTGCAGATGGCGGAAGTGTCGGAG